GTCAAGGTTAAAATATATATGATGTACTTTCTAGTAGCTCTTAATGGGTTTTTCTCGACCAGGACTGAACGATGAGGCTTTCCAGATTTGTTTATAGATAAAATATGGGAAGAAGAGATTTTTTGTTGTTGTATTTTCAGAGAAAGTGATAAAATATGATGTTAAAGGAAAGGAAAGGATTACAAAGTTTTCTTATTTGATTAAGGTTAAAATATAGATATTGTTATTTCTGATAAGTATTAAACTTGAGAGGAGACAAAGGAAAAATAATAAGAAATTGTCTGGCAGTATTTGAGGGGATTAAAGATCAAGATTCTTAATATGTTGCTGTTTCTGGTAGCTCTTAATGGATTTTTCTTGACTAGGTTTGATTGACAAGGCTTTAAAGATTTGTTTATACAGTAGATAAAAGATAAGATATGGGAAGAAGAGGGCTTTTTTGTATTTTTAGAGAAAATGATAAATTACTGTGTTAAAAGTAAAGTAAAGGAATATGAAACTGATTTATTAGATTAGGGTTAAATATATACATTGTCATTTCTGGTAACTCCTAATGGACTTTTGCCAATTAAAATTAAATGATGAGGCTTTACAATTTCTTTACAGATAAGAGATGAGATACAGGAAGAAGAGATATTTTGTTCAAATATTAGAGAAGGTGTTAGAGAAGGTGACATTGTTTGTATATATCTTGATAAAGAGGAAAGTCATTTCTTTATACATATTTTTTTCTTCATATCTTTTTTCTTTTCATTCCCTTTTGCACTTTTTCTTTTTAATTTTCCTTAGTTTGCATTAGATTTTTATCTTTGTATTTTTAAACTTCAATAAAATTATTATAAAAAAAGGAAGGAGGAGGAGGAGGAGGAAGAAATTAAAGCACCAAGAGACTGATTTGACACTATAACCAGCTTCAGTGGAAAGAACTAGTAAAGAGTAAAGAGAGAGACCAAGATGTTGGTATCAGATATAAAACAGTGTTCCTAACTCTCTACCATAACCCATACAGTTAGAATTTTCATAAAAATGAGTTTTGTTCATATGGTATTTCTTGTAATTGTGTTTCAACAGGAACATCCTACACATTTGGACCTAGATATATAGACAATTAGTGAAGAATGTTAATATTATTATTAGCAGAAGAGTTCAGTCTATCTATGCAAGCACTCCTGAGAGTGGGAATCTAACTTGTCCAATGATTGCAGTACATTTTTATTACGAAATACATATATGACAATCTCCTTTGTGTTTGTGACTTTGGGACATTACCTGCCACAACATTGGATTCAGAACATTCTTTTGTCCTTTCTCTGACATAGTTCTGTGTTTGAACATCGATGAGCTCATGGACTGCAACGCGTGGGCCACAGCATAAACTGCATTGTAGATACTATAGCTATGGGGAGTTATGCTCATGTCAAAAATAGACCTAGGAAGACCCTCTAACTTCTCCTCCCCAGTGCAGAGATTCCAAACATTCTCCTCTTCTAGGGATGTTGGGAAGGAACAATCAAATGCCTGCTTCCAAAAGTCCTTAATAAAACCATCTCTGATTTCTACATTAGGGTTTCTCATTTGAAGAAAATTTTGGAAACCTTCCACCTCCTTTGACTGGGTTGCAAAGGCTAGGACACCATGAAGGATATCTATGTCCCAAGATCGTTGAAAGGGAACAGAAGTGAACCCCGTCTGTGCCATCATAATCCAGACTTTACCTGTCTTCATTTGTATATCTTCAAGTTCCAAAAGTCTGGGAAACATTCTCAAAAAGATTGTAGTTTGAATTTCACCATGTAAGACCACAGCACTGGCCATGCTATCACTTATGAAGAGGTACAGTTTAATCCATGATTCTATCATTTCATAAACTCCAGTTTTGAAATACAAAATTGGGAATGGTTCTATAAAGTCAAAGCAGATACCTCCCTGGGAAAACTTGGGAAGTTCATTCTGAATAAACCTGAGGCCGTTGTCATCCTGTCTAAAAATGACACCAACCCAGGTCCATCTGAAAAGCAAAAGCAGCTGGAGCATCCCTGCATACTGTTGGTTCCTATTAGGGAACATCCATTGGAAGAAGTCTTGCTGGGATGGGTCATTTATTACTGGAAAAGAACCATATCCAAGCTATAAAGAAAAGAAAGGCTAAGTAGGTAGGCTGTGTGGTGGTAACATTTTAGTGCCTGAAGTGTGGGTATTCAACTCATGTTTTGAAACAGGGTGGAAGGAGATGAAAAGTGATGAGGACTAGTCTTGACTTTTCTCAATTTCCCAAGATATAATGGCATTTTCATTTGTTTCCTACTTCTTAGTGCAATGACCACTCATATTCTACTCCAAGCTATAAAGAAAAGAAAGGCTAAGTAGGTAGGCTGTGTGGTGGTAACATTTTAGTGCCTGAAGTGTGGGTATTCAACTCATGTTTTGAAACAGGGTGGAAGGAGATGAAAAGTGATGAGGACTAGTCTTGACTTTTCTCAATTTCCCAAGATATAATGGCATTTTCATTTGTTTCCTACTTCTTAGTGCAATGACCACTCATATTCTACCATGAAGATAAATTTCCACCCAAATAATTGCCAAGGGATGGGAAAAGAGAGATTTTACCAATTAGGAATGTAACTGTAGATGGCAATCCTTTAATCCTAACAATATTCTATGCAAGGAATGGGCACAAATAATTTGTTCAATCAATACTTTGAAAATATATAGATTATATCAATAAAGACCATAAACTCGATTTGAAGAATAGTGTTGTCAGAAACCAGAAAGTTGTTTCTGAATTCCTTAAGCAAGAATGGGAATATGTTCCTCTAGGAAGTTAAATCAGACCCTTCCTGGTACAACTACCATAACCAACACATCTTTTTTTTTCAGTTTGGATGTCATATCCTTATTTTAGTAATATGAGTTGACAGAATGAGGGGAGAGTATTGATAGGCTTAGTCTAATACCCACAAAAAAGAAAACAAACCTTAGAATTAGCATATTAAATTATTATAAGTTACCAAAACTATAGCAGTCACCTTTGCACATGCACAAAACATACAGGGCTTTGATGGGAAAAGTCATGTCCACCAATGTGCAGATTTTGGCTCCCTTTTGGTGGATGCTGCTGCTTTGACATGTCTTTCCTGCAACTCCCTAATCCTTCTCTTCCTGTTGACAAATGGAGACTTTTGGAACCTCTGCCCATTCCAAACTATACCCCTTCCTCCAGAATCCAGGATAGATGGTATGAATTGCTGATTCCAAATTACTTTTAAAAAATTCCCTTCAGGGTCAGGATTGCTATTTAAGGCACCATCCTCTAGGACGATGACACCTCCTTTGTCCCAAACTAATACAAATTCTTACTGAACAAAACAAAACAGATAGATTTGGCTTGTTACAATTTGATGCTCCAAATGTGCGCCTTACCTGTGGTATCTTGTAGATACTGAGAATGGTTGCCATGAAAAGACATGCAGTGGAACTGGGTCCCCCAATGACGGCCACAGTACTACTTTGGGAATCACATTTATAGTTTGGAATAAACTTGCCCCATGTGGAGAGGAGCTCCAGTGAGGCAAGATAAGTTAAGCTTCCAGTGAAGTAGTCATCATAAATGTTGAAACCCAGGGAGATGTTGCGCAAAACCTGAGTATTTTCATTGATCTCCTTCACAGCAAATACAAGAGCCAGGACATGCTGGTAGGTCTGAGTCAGAAATCTGCAATGAGATTTACCTG